TCTGTTACCTTTATCTATTAGTTTCCTTTTACTCATTAACAAAATCCTTTATCTCACCTTTCTCATCTTTTATTGTTTAATTTTTCAAATTTTTCTTCTTTTAGCTTTCCATTCCCCACCCTCTTGTTCTTTACTAATAGAACCATTAAGCTTTATTAACTTTTAGATAGTTAACTCTATGCTGTTACTGTTGAATTCTTTTCTATTGTTAGTGGAGGTGTAGTTGTTACATTTAGTAGATTTTATTGGATGTCAATATTTTGTGTGTGTCAGTGTTTACACTACCATTATAACTCTCTTTTCTATAGCTAAGGAAGATACATTATTGGTTCTTATGGTATGTTACTACTATCCAGTTTGTCTTTGATGCTATTATTATTGCTGATTTATATGCTTTTGCCACAGTGGCATAGTTATTGCTATTAATTATTGTAAACTGCAATAATTATCAATTATTTCTCTGTATGCCAATATAAGATAACTTTTGTGGCATTAACAGTACTGTAGTCCATTCTTGGAAAACTGAGTGCTGGGCCAATTACACTGTACTCAATCAACTTTCATAGCCTGAAAAATACTCTTTAAAAATTGAAGGAGAAATAACATTTCCATAGCATAGAGGACTTTAAGAAATTCGTGACCACCAAACCAGCACTCCAAAAAAAGTTCTCAGAGATATCCTAGAAAGAGAAAATGAAGCCAACAATGCTAAAAAGTATAATAGAATGAGTACATCAAGCAGTGAGCAGTTGAGCAGATGGTAAAAAAAAAAGAAAAAAAGAAAATCAGTAACAGGAAAATAATGCAATGGTGGGAATAAGTCAATACCTTTCAGTAATAACTCTCAAAATGAATGGTCTCAATTCTCCAATCAAAAGACACAGACTGACAGAATGGTTCAAGAAGCAAAACACAACAAATGTAGTATACAACAAACACGTTTATTCTGAAGAAGAAATACACAGATTAAAAAATGAAAGGATGAAAAATAATGTTCTCTGCAGTAGGAACTCCAAAACAAGCAGGAATAGCCATCCTACTTTCAAAAAAAGTGACCTTCAAGCCAAAACTGATCATAAAAGTCAAAGAAGGTTAAGGGAACAATTCAACTGGAAGAGATAGGAATTATAAACACATATGCACCAAACACTGCTATGCCCAACTTCATAAAGCAAACACTACTGGACATAGAAGATCCAATAAACATCAATAAATTATAGTGGGGAATCTCAATAGCCCACTGTCACAAATAGATCAACTAGACAAAATAACAAATAAATATCAGAGTTAAAACAAACATTTGAACAAATGGACTAAATATATATATATATATATATATCTACACAGTGTTACACCCAACAACAAAATACACATTCTCCTTAGCAGCATATAGTACTTTCTCCAAAACAGATCACACCCGGGCCCATAAATCATGATTAGTAAATACAAAAGAATCAAAATTATCCTATGCCTACTACAAAACCATAATACAATGAATTAGAAATCAACGGCAAAAGAAACCACAGAAATTATTCAACACTCACTTGAAATCAATGGATCACAGAAGAAATCTAGGCAGATTAGACAATTCCTAGAATCAAATGATAATGCCAGTAAACAGACCAGAACCTATGGGACACAAGGAAAGCATTCCCAAGAGTGAAGTTTATTGCTATGAATGCCTACATCAGAAAAACAGAGTGAACCCAGATAAATAAATAACCTAATGGTGCACACCTCAAGGTTCCAGAAAAATAAAAATAATCTATATTCCAAAGCTAGAACTAGGAAGGAAATTATAAAGATCAGAGCAGAAATTAATGAAATTGAGGCAAAAACATACAAAGAATCAATAAATTGAAAGAGTAAACAAAACAATAAAACCCTTGGCCAATTTTACCAAAAAAGAAAAGAAAAGAAAAGAAAGAAAGAAATGGCCTAAGTCAATGTAACTAGAAATGAAAAAGTCAAAATCACAATGGACACTACCAAAATTCAGAAGATTATCAGTAACTACCCCGTACTTCAATAAACGAGAGTCCAGAAGAAATGGACAGAATCCTACATACACATGAATTATCAAAAGTGAACCAAGAAGATATAAATACCCCAAATAAACCAATAACAGGCAATAAAATTGAAGAAGTAATAAAAAAATTACCAACTAAGAAAAGCCCAAGAGCTGATGGCTTCAGCACTGAATTCAGTAAGAACGTTAGGGAAGACCGAATACCAGTACTACTCAAAATCTTTAATGAAATTGAAAGGGAAGGAATACTCCTAAAGTAATTCCTGAAAGCTAGCATTATCATAACTCAAAAACCAGGAAAGAAAACTACAAACCTTTTTCTTTAATGAACATAGATGTAAAAATCCTCAAAAAGATATCGGCAAGCAGAATGCAACAAATCATCAAACAAATCATATGTCATGACCCAGAGATGCAAGGATGGTTCAACATATGTAAATCAGTAACTGTAATCTATCACATAAGCAGGAGAAACAAATCATATGACCATCTCAATTGATGCAGAAAAAACCACTGACAAAATCTAATATCCATTCAGTATAAAAATCCTGAAGAAAATAGGTATAGAAGAACTTCATCTCAATTTAATAAAAGTCATTTATGACAAACCAATGGCCAGCACAATATTAAATGGGGAGAAGTTGAACACTCTCAAAAATCAGGAAAAACACAAAGATATCTACTATCATCACTCTTGTTACATATCTCAAAACATTAGCCAGAGCAACTAGGCAAGAGAAAGAAATAAAAGAAAGGCAGTCAAATTATCATTATTTGCAGATGACATGATCCTCTCCAAGAAATCCCATCAAAAGACTCCTAAAATTAGTAACCAAATTCTTTAGTGTAGCAGGATACAAAACTCGACATTCAAAAATCAATGGTGTTGAAGGGGGGGCAGGGACAAGAGGAAAAAATGAGAACAAGACATGTCATGTAGAGGTACAAATTCCCAACAATGAATGTAACTGTACTGTATCCCTAAAATGTACCAATAAACTCAAAATTAAAGCTGAAAAAAATTCAATGGTGTTCTGCGGAGTGTGGTGGCACACACCTGTAATCCCAGCACTCAGGAGGCTGAGGCAGGAGGATGGCTGTGAGTTCGAGACCAGCCTGGGCTACGTAGTGAGTTCCAGGTCAGTCTCATCTACATAGTGAGACCCTGCCTCAACCCCCCCCCAAAAAAAAATCAATGGTGTTCCTATACATCAAGAATGAGCTACTAAGAGAGAAATTAGGAAAATAATACCATTCATATAATAGCATCAAAATTTTAAAAAATTTAGGAATTAACCTAACCAAGGAAATGAAAAACCTTGACAATAAACACTACATCACTCTAATAAAGGGGATCTAAGAAGACTTCAGAAAATGGAAAGATACACACAATCCTCCTTTAACAGCCTACCTGTTTAACAACTGTTCAAACTTATGACTCACCACTCAGACTTACAATCTGCATTCAGATTTAGGACACAGGAATATGAGCAGCAGTGTGGCCTTGTGATGGCTTCTTCTACAGTACGGTACTATAATATCTGCAGTTCTGTAATTTTATGTTCTATTATACATTACAGTATTTCTTTGATGATTATTTAGTGCTGAAACCACCTGGATAATCTTTAGAACTGTTAACAAGCCAGGCATGGTGGCACACGCCTGCAATCCCAGTTCTCTGGATGCTGAGGCAGGAGGTTTGAGTCTCACCTGGGTAAGACTTGGAGTAAAGAACAAAACAAAACAAAACAAAAAGGGCGGGGAAGTAGCTTATTGTGAAGGCCCTCTGTTTAATGTTCAGTACCACAAACAAAAGTGTTCTCTTGGTCACTCACAGGCGCCCCAGGGTTCTAAGTAGCACTCCTGAGAAATGCTATAATTGGGTCTGTCACCAGGCAGGAATGCTTGCCTTCTACCTTCTGGAGATTGGACCTCCAAGGCTCAGCACTAGTGCATGGGTATATAACCAGGTATAGTTGTACCTTAGTAGGTCACCCGGCCAAAGTGGGGACAGCAAGAAAAGATCCCGTAGGAAGAGACACTAGAAAGACATTTTCCCGAGCCTTCATGAGATCTTTGTGGGGTGGAGTCCTGTATGAGCAGCAGAGGCACGAGGACAGCGAGGCTCTGCTGCTAATGAGCATGAGTCTGTTTGTACTCCTACCAGTGAGGGTCCAGGAAATGTGGGCAACCCTAGGACTGGAGAGAATTTGTGCTGAATTCCAGGAATAGTGCCTGGTTCATTGGGACCTATGCTAAAGAGGAGCTTCCTCTTATGGGGGAAACAGCAGGTGGGGATGGGCTGCTCTGTGAGGTCTCTGAGATCCTGCTGGCCACGCAGTGACTCTGGTGTCCAGCATATCCGCAGGAAGGACAGCCTGAGACACTACTCTGGGGCTTGTGGCTGGACCATGAATCTTGGGTCGGCTAAACAGACAAGGTGACACTGATTTTCAATCAGTGAAGAGGCGTGGAAACTGAGCAAGAGCGTCTGAGGTGTGCCTCAGACAGCAGGGAGCAGATTAACGGGGCCTGGATATGAGAAGCTTGGCGGTGGATAATCCACTAAGGATTTGGGAAGGTGGGCCTATGTGGATAGGTGAAGAGGCTGTTAGGTATCAACCCAGGAGCAGAGCTGGGAGGACTGCCGGTCTATGCCTCAGCTTTCAGCCTGGCATCGGGCCCCATCTGTGCTCCCGATTCACGCTCAACTCCTCAATCTGAGAGGCCTCAGAGCTTCCAGACCCCAGTGTTGCTCTCCCACCTCTGGGGACCTTCGTGCCCCTGCACTTGGATGCTAGGAGCGCAGCCTGATCTCCCTGGAAGGCCAGACATTCTCCATGACAAGAACAGTCTACAAGGGCAGACGGACCTGCTTTCTGCCTAATTGGCACATGGCTCCTCAGGGTCCCCTTACTGTGCCTTTCACACCCCCAGCCTTTCCCAGAGGATCAGGGGCGCGTGGTTCCTCTTAGGGCAGGAGTCAGAGTTGTTTATTGGCACATTTAAAGCAAACAATACAGCTACATTTATCATTGGGATCTTGTACCTTCACATGTTATGTCTTGGTTCTTATTTTTTTCCCATACCCCTGCCCTCCCTTCACACCTTCATTTATTGCCAATGGGTTGGCAAAAGGGAGGCTGCAGCACAGCCCCTGAGGCCTGAACAGAGAGAATGTAAGTGGATCGAGTTGTCAGCCCCCGGCCTGCTGTGGGGCCTGAAGCATGAAGGGCAGCAGGAGGCAGGTCTGTGCTGGCCTAGGGACACTGTGAGTCTTGCGCGAGCCTGTAGCTGTCAGAGGCGGGGGCAGAAAGTCCCCGGGAGGAGAACCTGGAAGTGAGTCCAGAACAGGAGTGGGCCTCTTGATGGTGCTGATCCAGTCAGTGAAGTAGGTGACCCTGGTGAAGACACTGGGGAAGGTGGGATGCCTGCAGTCCAAACCCCAGCTGGCCAGGCCTACCAGGACCCAGGCCCCAGGTTGCAGGCAGACAAGGGGACCCCCAGAATCACCCTGAGGAGAGAGAGAAAAGAGTTGGCGGGAGGTGAGTAGAGCCAGAGACGTGAGAAACAATGTCTGTCTGGTGCCCTAAGCTGCCAGTTCCTGATCAAGTGCCCGCTACGGTCCCACTGGATTAAACCGTGCAGGTGGAACACCGGAAGGGAGCAGCAGGATATTCCTGAGCTGCCTGGTCATCCAGCTGGATGGCCATGGATCTGAATCTATCAGTATGTGAACCTCTGCATGCTATCGGATCTGGTGGCCCAGTCACACGTGCTGCCTGAGGTAAAGAGGGGACAGTTGCCCGCACAGAGGGGCTTGTGAGAAGGTTGGGCAACCTGAGATGCCTGTGTAGACCCCATCTCTGTAAACTTGGAGCTGCAGCAGCGAGTCCTCCCAAGTTCCTGCCTCTTTGCTTGGTTCTGTGGCTTTCTCTCCAGCTCCAGGTTGAGCACCATTAGGAAACACACATGGCCAGACAGGTGGAGACAGGTCACAATACGGTTGGGACCTGAAACGTCCTCCAAAAGCTCACTGTGTCGAAGGCTTGATTGTCAGCTGATGGGCTGAGGGAAGTGAGTAGATGGTGAGGATTCATGGCCAAATGGGCCGAAGGAGGTGTATTTTGGTAGCATGACCTTGGGACTGCATCGCATCCCAGGCCCTTTCCTCTCTTCCTCTTTCTGTCTCTCTGATTCCTGACCGCCACAGGTGAGCACCTTTCTTTTCCCATGTCTTTCTGCCACAATGTCTCCACCGTGACACAATACTAAAAGCAATGGAGTGAGGGACTGCACAGAAACCTCTGAAACCATGAGCCCAATGCAGCGGTACCTTGATTCACAAACACTTTTGTTTGTAAACAATTTGGTTCACAAACAGAAGCATTTGGCAAGATTTTCTTTTTGTTTGCAAACTCTGCATCGGGTGACAAACATGACTGCGGCCATCTTTCCTGCACAAACACAAATGTGGCCATCTTTTCCAGAATCACGGAATGATTTAAGTTCAAGAATCAAGGTACCACTGTATGTCTGTCCTCCTTTCAGTTGTTCTTCCCAGATATTTTGTCACAGCAACACCAAGCTAACGAGCAGCCCACATCACCAGGAGAGGAGGCGGGCATCTCTGGAGAGTGAATGGGACTTTCTGGAGACCTGAAATGCCATGAGGGGTTCAGCCCATGAGACAGCCAGGCCATTGTGACCTCGATGCCAAAGCTTAGCCCACGGATGTTGGCTTAGGTGTGGGATCCTGCAGGAGAGAGGCAAGGTTGCTATGGGACTCAGCACTGCAACCGTGCTTGTGCTGTCCCACTTCAGGCTGGCCACTTTCTCTCCCCACCCATAAAAAGAGATTCAACCCATCTGTCCAAGAGTAAAGTTGTATTAAGAATATATAAAGAATTCCTATAAGAAACAGTTAACTCCTATCCAGGAGGCCAACACAGGAAGATCACAAATTCAAGGCCAGCCCAGGCAAGTTATAGAGACCCTGTCTCCAAAAAATAAAAACAAAAATAGAAAGGCTGACATGTTACGTCAATATGGGAAATTTCACTCAACCGTACTATTTCACTGGGAAAATGCAATTTAAAGCCATAAACCGAAAATACTTGCCTTGACTGTCACAATGTGAAAAGATGGACAGTGCCAAGTTTGGGTGAGGACATAAATTCTCATCCACTGCTGGAGGACTGTCTGCTAACCTCTCCCAAAGCTGAACTCACACATGTCTTTTTCCCAGCAATTCCACTCATGGGCTTCCCAAAACAGAATATGAGAGATATGCCGTTCACCTGTGCTCCAGAGACACACAAGAAAACACGCAGAGCCTGCTACTCATCTGACCTCCAAGTTGGAAACGACTCAACACCCACCCAGCCCAGAACCAGTAAGAGCATTCAGTTCACACAGGAGCACACTTTAGGGCCATGGCACGTTACATGTTACATCTGGATGAGTCTCACTAACAAAACATTCAGATACACGGGACCACCAACCGCAGATTGCATTTCCAGAAAACACAGAACCGAATTTAAGGTTGAAGTGAAGATGAGTTTCCCTTGGCATTCGTGACAAGGGGATCGAGGGGTCTCCTGGGATGTTGTCAGTGTATTGATTATGTTACAACGAAAAGTTTAAAATATGCAACCAAAATGGAAGCAGTGTGAGAGCCCTTCCAGTGGATGTCCCTGCACCAGGACGAGCTGAGGGAGGGGATAGTCTGGGGGAGACGGCTGAGGGATGAGTCTGGGAAAACACGAAATGAGAAGGAAACAAGAAGCCCAAGGATTTCCTCCAAGAGAGTAGAGAGCAACACTGACCCCCTTCCCAAGGAAACAGAGGCCGAGAGAACAGGCAAACAGCAGCAGCGTCTGGCCTTACCTCGCAGATGGAATTTCCTGTAGAGAAATTCCCAACACACAGCATCTCCTCCTGCACCAAGTGGTCCCTACCAGTTCTTTGCACAAATAAGAGATTGCAGAGCTCATTCGTAATGAGGCCTACCTCAGCCTCCTGGAGAGAGAAAGGTGGTAACAGCCGCACTGTGAAAGTAAGACGGAGGTCAGGGATTTGCACTGGAGGTCACTCAAGGAAGCCCAGCTTTGTCTTCTCTCCCACTCTGCCTGATGTTTACCATATTCCCCAGACTTGGGGTTTTCCTAGAATAGCTGTGTTTGAAGTCTTCTACCTACCCCCACCTTCCACACTCATCCTATTCCTCCCCGCTCAGCAACAGACATCTCTCCCAGTGCCACAAAGAGGTGAATTCCACTAACATATAACATGCTCATTGGGGTCAGCAACCATGAAACTCACATACCTTGTCACAAACTATCGCATCCATTTTCCACTCATCCATCACTAGCCTTTCACCCCTCTTTTCATTCACCTGCCCACCTACAAATCTACTCCTTCACCCACTTCTCAATTTACCCACCAATCTCCTACACATACGTACCCTCCATGCATCCACCCTTTCCTCTGCTTCTCTTCATGTACTGACACATCTACATATCACCC